CCTCTGGAGAAGGAAGCCTAAACAGACACTGTTCCATGTAACCCATGCACTGCATATAGCCATGAAGGCCTCTTGAGTATGAGGCTGTGCACTGATCAGAGGTAGGCTGCCTGGCTGGGGCTGCAATGCTGCTCTCACTCTTACCTTCTGGGTTCTCAAAGGTGATGAGTGCTGAGCCCCCAGGCAGTGGGTACTGGATCAACAGAGTCATTGCCAGTGAATTTGTGTCCTCCCTAGTCATGTGTCCTTTGAACACCATCTTCCGCTCCAGCAGGGAGGGCAGCACCTGGGGCAAAGCCTGCAGGGCAAAACAGGAGACGGTTGTGGCCCATCGTGGGCCACCAGTCCAAAGCAAGGGCATGGGGCTCAGTGGCTCGCCCCACAGAACCGCTGCTAGGGACTCGGTAATTCCCAGAGCCCCAAAAGCTGCAGCCTTTGGTCTGGTGTCCTATCCACACTTGCCAGTTAAGCAGGGTCAATGATTGAATGGTAATGTAGGAAATATTCAGGGAGTGTGCAGGTGACCCCAAAGGGATACCCAGGCCCCAAAGGTAGGAGTGATCCTGATGCTGCACATACTGTGCTGTTGAATGCAGCTTTTTCAGCCGAGATGCAAAAATGAAGTCCTGAATGAACTGTTTGTATTCACTGAAAACCCTTGGCTGGGCCCAGCATCTACTCTAGTAAAACCCCAGCTCTAAGTATTCAGAGGCTTCTGTGGCCCTTCAAAGAGAGCTGGAGCCCAAACTGACCTGTTCTGTCACAGAGCCCAGCCAGACCTTGGGGATAACTGCCAGCTGCAGATGGGGTGAGTGGGAAACCTGGCTGAATGCTCCTCAGTACCTTTTCTTGCTCATTGTAGGCATCTCTCCTCTTCTCCAGCTCTTTCAGTTCTTCTTCCAGCTTCTGCTTCAGTTGCAGCAGTTGGTACCTTTCCTCCTTTGCTAAATGCATCTTTGTCTTTGGGAAGAAAGGAACAGCTCAGCAGCAGCAGAGGGGACACTACTGAGAAGCAGGGCAGCATTGCCAGTGCATTCCCCATGACTCCAGCCTACCCACTGCTCTCCTGATGCCTCTTGCTCCTGAGGGACAGACCCCTGCTTTCTATGCTTGCAGCCCTAGCACATTTCTGAACAAGGACAACTCATTGTACCAGAATGTGGTATGGTTCTGTGATAATTAGACAGACTAAAAGCATCACAGAAGTGTGAGGTCTACTGACCCATAGTGTGGTCCAGTCACCACTCACACCCTCAGCAGAGCCTATCTAATAGCAAAAGTCTATTCTGTGAACCAAACCTGGTAGGAAGCTGCCAGCTCACTACTCAGAAGTGTGTCTTTCTCAAGTTTCTCACGAAGGTGTTCTGCTTCTTTTTTGAATTCTTGAATTTTCTGCTCAGAAGCTTCCTTTGCTGCTTTCAGGTCTGCTCCGTCTTGTTCCAGGGCAAAACAGCGGTCCTGGAAAAGGCACCACAAAGCATGGTTAGCGCTGCCCCCTGCCCCACCATTGTGGAAAGCAGTTGAGCAAACTTTTTGCCCAGGAAACTCCAGTGTATAAAATATGACTGTATAAAATACACTGTATATGAGAGTGTATAAAATATGGCACTGACTTCCCACAGGGGGGGCAGGGACGCACCTTGTACTTCTCAATCTCCTTCTGGATACATTCAGGTGTCATTGTCAGAAAGATGTTCTCCAGTGAGTCTTCATCTGGCAGCTGGACAAAGGACTTTTAAAGATCAAGAAAGGTTAGTGACCCTGCAGGCTTCCCTATCAACCCCAGCCCTACACAACACAGCACAGAGCACTTCGTGAAAAATGTACAGAGATGTGTGGGAGCTTTCCTGTGAAACTCAGACATTCAGCTTACCTTGCGGGGGTCTCTGGCTCTGTATTCTTGCCCAAAATTTGAGAGAGCTCCTTGATATCAACTCCCCAGTATGCTTCCACCCACAGCCATTCCCCCTGGGAAATGTTCCTGCCAGGACAACTTCCACTTTTGCTTTTGGAAAAAAAAAGCAGGTGGCAGCAAGGGCCCATAGAGTGCCTGTTTAGTGATTACCTCCTCCAAATCCGTCATTGTGATGCTCGCACCTACGGAGGGAAAGCACCAGGATGTCAGAACTGGGCACCAAAACCACCTCTCTGCCCTCCCCCTGGGCAAAGCTCGGCAGCACCAGACACGGCCAGCTGTGCTGGGGGGGCTCGGGTAGAAACCCCATGTCCTGCAGCCCATCACTACAGCATCAAAGGGTGGGGAAGGTGCATTGCAGGGAGCTGGAGCCCTGGACATGGGTCTGAGTTTGAGTGCTTGGCCTGAGATCACCCAGCTCACTGGCCATGGATACAAGGTGCCCAGTACCCTGGGGAGCAACAAGGAAAAGCAAGGGAAGACGGAGCCCTAAATGTCAGAGGGGGGCAAGGGAACCAGGCAGCAGCTCCAATAGAGGTGGGGAGCCAACCAGGCAGGGAAACTTTCCTAGTGTACCCAGTAGCTGGGCCACAAAGGGACCAGGGAGGAAGGGGACCCGCCTGGAGGAGAGGGGAGGGCAGGGCAGGGCAGGGCAGGGGCACGGTTTACACTTCCCAGCTCCACCTCCCGGGGCCCGGCGCAGAGAGCGGCCAGCCCTCGCGGGGCGCAGGCCACAAGCCCCCCCTCGACACCCTCAGCGCCGGACCTCCTCACCTCCCGGCCCGGGGCTCCGGCTCCGCTTTCACTTTCGTTTCTGCCGGGGCAGCTTCGCCACACGCCCCGCCCCGGGAGGGGAGGGGAGGAGAGGAGAGGAAAGGCCGGCCTAACCCGCTGCGGGCGGGACGGCTCGGAGCCCCGTGAGCCCGGCCCCCTTCCCGCCGCCGGGGCAGGGACACCTCCCGGCGCCCGCACGCACGTGCTGCACCCTGAGACAGCGGGCACCAGGCTGCCGGCAGCTCCACAGCCCCTGCCCCCTCCCTCAGGGGCAAGCCGTCCGGAGCGGTGCAGGGCAGCGCGGCTTTAGGGACCCGCGCCCCTCAACGAGGGTCTCTTGAAGACAGCAGCTTTAAAGGCATCCTTGCCTTCCCCAGAAGGGCCCTCCCTCGAGTGCCGCTGTTCTCAGCGGTGGCAGAACAAGGAGCCAGGGTCTCAAGTTGCAGCAATGAGAAGTTTAGGTTGGATGGTAGGAAGAACTGTCGCACTAGGAGGGCAGTCAAACACTGGAGCAGGTTACCCAGAGAGGTGGCAGAAGCTCCATCCGCGGAGGTCTGGCTACAGAGCTTTGGCTGGGATGACCTAGCTGGGGCTGGTCCTGCTTGAAGCAGGGGTGGACTAGATGTGACCTCCTGAGGTCCCTTTCAACACTTTCTATGACTCTATGATCCATTTACTTTTCCAGTTGCACCATGGATGTGGATGACTGGTGCCTCCTGAGGCTGGGGGGCAGTTTGTGAGTGGCAGAGGTGGCAGGGGCGGGGCAAGCAGGGACCCCCCGCCGAAGCCACCGTTATTGTCCGCC